TTGGATCCTATGGTTTATCCGCTATTTTTTCCAAGAGGTGATGCTGGTTGGCATAATCAATTGGTGCATAACCCTGAGCGTGCCACACTGGTTAGAAATCATGTTACATTATCTCAGTTCTACAATTATAGACTTTCTGTTAGGCAATTTTTCTGTTCATTATTTTATGGCAAGAAACTATTTCAGCAGTATGCTGTAGGTGCATATGTAAAAATTGAAGGCCAGCGTCTTGCTTTTATCAGAAATAATCAAAATAAGCTGAGAAGCGAGCAGTACGATGCCTTACATGAACATATTAACAACATTGCCAATGATCGTAATATTAGACCAGGACGAGTAGTAGTTTTGCCATCATCTTATGTAGGAAGTCCTAGAGCTTTAAAAGAAAACTTTGAAGATGCTATGGCAATTATTAAAAAGTATGGTAAACCAGATCTTTTTATAACTTTTACTTGCAACCCAAAATGGCGTGAAATAACAGAAAATTTATATCCGGGTCAGAATGCGAATGATAGACCTGATTTGGTTACTCGAGTATTTAAACTCAAGTTAAATAACCTCCTCAATGATATATTCAAACATGGTGTATTAGGCAAAGTTGTAACGCATGTTCAGGTTATTGAGTTTCAAAAGCGTGGTTTGCCGCATGCCCACACCTTTTACTTTATTTAGCAAATGATGATAAACTTGAAACATCACAGGATATCGATAATTTGATTTGTGCAGAAATTCCAGATCCGATAGTTAATTGTGAAAATTGATATTGGTTTCAAAATTGAACATCATTGGCAAAATGCTTACAAAATTAGGTAGTTTTTAAAAATCTGTTTTCTATTTAATACACTTTTTTTTTAATATACTTTTTTAATATACTTTTCTATAACAATTCTACTAATATGGAATCACGTAGCTTTTTAAATATGTTTAATTGTCGTCCCTATCGGTAATAAATATTTTAAATTATTTGATATGGTTTTCTTTACAATAGGCTATGCTTGGCTCCTCGGTGCTGTAAATGGTGGCTTCAACTTTGTTTTTTTTTAAGAAAAATGTGTTTTATATATGCTTCTGTTTTAAAATATTTTTGTTACATATTTAACTATATATCATGTAAATAAATTTCTTTTAAAGATAAGTTAACTTAATACTTGCTTTTTTACGGATTTTCAAAAAGTGAACAAAGGTTTAAATATATTTTTTAACTGTCTTTTATGATTTTATCAATTTTATTAAATATTACTTCAAATATAAAATTTACTATATATAAATAAATATAAAAATTACTTAAAAAATATTGAGTAAAATCTAATTGCTTTTATTATTAACCTGATATATACAAAAATTAATGAAATAAAACTAATAATCTAACGCCAAGTTAAGGCAAAATGAAATAAATATGTTGATACACGTTAGCTATTGTAGTAAATCCATATATTCCTTTGTTTTTTTATAAACAAGTTACTGCTGGATTACTAATTAAAAAAAAGTTGGTTTAAATAATAATCTTTATCATAATATATAGGATCCGTATGCAGGGTAAGCCCTTTTCGGAATTGCGATATATTTTTCAACTTATAGTTTTTCCGGATATCCAACTTCTATGCCTGCAAGTTTGGGTGTAATATTTTAGATGTTTTAAAAAATATATTAATAACATTTAAAAGGTTTAGGTGCGATAGTGACATATTTTGAAGCTCTTCACTCAGTAAAATGAAAAGTTTAAAAAATAAAGAAACGACTCAGCTTAAAGCAAAATTAAGAGTAGAATATATTCCCAATATTTACCTAAACAATTTTACGGAATTTGAAAATTTGACATCGATTTTCTGTGCATATAAGTTAAGTCATTTTGTGGTTAACTTTATCTTTAATGAAGCTAAGAGTTCTCTTAAACTAAGAAGCCAAGAAAAATAAAAGTGAGCTCAACTAAAAAAAATGTATAAATAAATTTATATTTCATTAGAGAAAGTAAATAAAGATTAAATTGACAGTAATAATTTATTTACTACTAACCCGTATTACGGGTTGCTTACTGTATAAATAAATTAATAATTTATTAGAGAAAGTAAATAAATATCAAATTGTTAATAATGATTTATATACTACTAACCCGTATTACGGGTTGCTTACACGTAGTATATATAATAACATAACCAACCAATTAATAACATAAATTAGCATCAAAAGCTGTTGTTTTTAAAATTATTAGTTAGTGAATTGATAAAACAGAGAACTGTAATGAAACAGACACTGCATATGAAAATGAGTTTTACTTTACTCCTAAAGATCAGGCTGAACCAATTAATACTCATTATGAACCATTGCTTATTAACGAAAGCCAAGATAAAATTACAGAAATATATATATATATATATATATATATATATATATATATATATATATATATATATATATATATATATATATATATATATATATATATATATATACATATATATATATATATATATATATATATATATATATATATATATATATATATATATATATATATATATATATATATATATATACACATTTATGTGAAGTTTATTATCAGGCATGATTTGATGACAAAGGAAAAGAAATGAAAACTTATATTTTGAGAAAATAACTGCACTGTTTTGGAATTACGCAGGATCTTAAACAAAATTTTATAATGTTTTGCCTGTTGTTTTTCGCGCGTGCGCTTTAAAATGTAAACAAAGCAACCCGTCTATAATGAGAAAAAACTAAATGAATTTCTAATTTATACTCTAATAAAGCAGAAAACGTGTTCGTTTCTTGCTTACGATCCGTAACTAATTAAACATTTTATTATCTCTAACAATGCTCTCTTTAAAAAATAGTGTAGAATCTATACTAACAATATTACTTTATTTTCAAGAGTTTGTTTAATGAACTTCATTATAAAATCACATTATGTTACAAGGCGTTATACAACGTTAATAAGTTTGTGTGCACGGTCACGCTTGATTTACGCTCTATTTTTGTGTCAATAAGTTAAACAATGAATTTTACGGAGTTTCCAAACCATTTAAAGTCTATTAACTATGGTTAAGAGGTAAGTTTGGCATTTTTAATGTCCTCTTAGTTTATTAATTTCTTATCCAGTTTTTACTGTACGCAAGTAGATTCTATTGAGAAGCTCGATGCTAGGTCTCAAACCTTATCTGATAAATATTGCACTAACCTTACACAATGGGCACGGACGTAAAAAAGACGTCTTTTAAACGTTTTGGGCTTCTTTTGAACGTCTTTTGAACGTTTTGGACGTCTTTTTTAGGTCCGGTGCCCACTGGGTATAGAATCAATGGGAGCAGACGTAACTATAAAATTGTAACTTATTTTTACTCATTAAACTTTCAATTTATTATTCAAGCTTCTTTTTTAAAAATTTCAATAGCCATACAAACATTTAACCGATTTATATTTTTACATATCATTTACAGATGTTGATTCGGATGCGATGACTCGGTTTTTGAATGTTTTCATTAAAACGTTTTGAGTTTTTCCAATCAATATTTATTTTCTTTTAAACTCTAATAAAATAGCTTAGCCTATAATAAGTTGCATGAGTTTTTTAAACGTTTGCCCTGACACTCCATTTTAATATTGTTTTCTTGAATTTTCAATGTCTTTTTTTTCGTTCGGCGCGACCTCCTCCTGTCTTAATTCCATCAACGCTTTCTAAAAAAACAGCTATAAAGAAAGCCTTACTGCATCATAGATGGTTTTACTCGCCAAAGTTTCTCACTGTTTCTAAAGTTAGGACAGTTGCTTAAGAATTCCATGCAACATCTGTTTTGACAACTCCTTAAATAGTTTCAATGTAAAAGGGATACCCGACAAAAAAGAAAGAAACTCTTGCAGCCAAAGAAATTCGCAAACAAGTTCGATTGACAGCTGCAGAAAATAAGAAAAACACACCTAAGACTGTTGTTAAAAAAAATGTGAAGCTGTGATGCATAGAAATCCTAATAAAAATGTATTTTCTATTTTACTTTATGTAGTAAGTTTTTATCTTACGCTGTAAAATATAAAAAACAGACTTTTAAATGTTTTTTTCAAGGAATGTTTTTTGTAGTTTATGTTGTAAACTATAAAAAACGTTCTTAGAAATACCTAATTTTAAAATTTTTATAAGTGTCGAATATTGAAGGAAAAAAACGTTAATCTTAAGATGTTGACCTGTGTTCGACATTTTGACATTTCAAGGGCTATAACTCCTTTATTAACTATTCGACATCATTCACTCTAAATGTTTTATAAAGAGCAACTATCCCTTTATACGATAAAATTTTGAGTCGACCATTTATGAAATAAAGAGTAAGAAATTATTATTTATATAAGACTAGGTAAAAATAAAGGTCTACCTCTAAGTAGTTTACCCTACATAAATAAAGAAACATAAATTGATGTTTCCTTATTTATGTGGGGTAAACCACCTAGTGGTCGACACTTTTTTTTAACAACGATAAATAATAATAACGAATAAAAATAACGATGAATTTATATTTCTATGTATTATTAATTATACATAAAAATATAAATTTATCGTTATTATACGTATAAATCACGTGAGAATAACGGGTAGATACATAAGATTTGTTGTACCTACAAAGCATTACAAATAAAAAATTTAATATACAAAGTAAATATTTATGTAAATAATTAAGATATTAGAACTCGTAAGTATAAAATATAAGATATACCTCATATAATACATATACCTACCAAATAAATATATTAAAAATCCAAAGTTAATTAAAGAAAGTTAATGCACATATAAATAATTATAAAATAATATTTATTACAAATTTTAAATTAAAGTTTTTATTATAAAACTTTTATTTAAAATATTCTTTAGTAAAATCCTCGATATTTTTTAAGTTGTTAAAACGTAGACAGGTTAAAATAACATTAACTTTTAAATAGTCTAAAACAAATACTTGTAGTCAAAAGCGTTGTTTGTTTTTTTACATAAAAACTACTTTTTATTATGAAGAGAAAGCTTTATTTTGTATTCTTTTATAAAGGTTGTATTTAAAAAATTAAGACACATAATTAAACGACTAAAAAAATGCGTATTTTATGTGCAAAAGTGTCAAATAAAAAAATTTCGGTTTTGTTAATAGCAAGTATTTTTTTAATGAGTATTTTAATTTATGGAACAATATTAAAAAATAGATTTTCGTTTATATCTGTAGACAAGGATGACGAGAATCCCAGCACGACCTTAAATACAATCAATCTTGCAAAAGAATCGGAAATACTTTCACATATAATTTTTGATTCTGTTGAAACGGACTTGGAGTTAACTTACACAGCAATCATTGTTATTTCTTCTCATGTGAATAACAGAAACAGAAGAAATTTGATTCGAGAAACTTGGGGAAGTATATTTAGTTGGATTACTAATGAAAAGTATTTAATAGTGTTTGTTGTTGCCAGAACGACAAACGCAAAAGCAATGATAGAAATAGCACATGAAGCAAAAATACGAAGGGATATTTTGTATTTAGATATATTTGAAGATTTTTATCTTTTGACTAAGAAAGTTATCATTGCGCTAACTTGGGCAAAGAACAAAGTAAGTTTTGAAGCCCTTTTGAAAGGTGATGACGATACATATATGCACCTGGATAACATGATAAACTTTGTTAAAAATATTTCTGTAACAGACGGATACTTTGGAAATAAAATAATCAATGCGTATGTACAAAGAGAAGGAAAATACCAAGTTTCTAAGGAAGAACTCCAAAAAGATTTATATAACCCCTACTGCTCTGGTGGAGGATTTATATTAACTAACTCTAGTGTTTATAAAATGACATCATTATTTGATTTAAACAAAATATTTCGAATAGATGATGCTTTTATTGGGGAAATTGCATTTCAAGCAGGTATGTTTCATATATTTGCTTTAAATGTTTTAGTAGTAACGGAACACCCTGCGCCGTAGCATTTAATTTTTAGATTCGGTGAGGTTTAGAGATAAAAGAAAAATGATAAAATATTTCATAATTTTCATTGGGATAATACAGACCATAATGAGACAAGGGAACAAATTTAAACAGATTACATTTATCATGATGCTAGTCCCAACATTTATTGTTTTAAGATTTTTAAAAATGCAGCTGTGTTCTAAAATTAATTGTTAAAAGAACTGTTACGAGTTTTTTGGAATAAAAAAATGATAAGAGTGACATACCTCAGCTTTATGACATTTGCAAACTTTAAAATTTTGTTGTTATAATTTTTTATTGGCTTTTTTGATCTCACGGAGTGAAAATAATTTTTTTGATGTCACAGATTGAAAATAATTTTTTGGTCTCACGGATTGAAAATAATTTTTTGATCTCACAGAGTGAAAATAATTTTATATTTAAAGCTTATTGTCATAATTAAGCATTTTTGATACTAGCATGTTGCATTCTTGATACTGACATGTTGCATTTTTGATACTGACAGTTGCGGGGCAAAATGAAACATTTTTGCCGATTTCTAATTAACTATTGTAAGTATGTAATTTTGGAAAGCACACATTACATACTTACAAACGACATCAATTTATTGAACAGTAATTATTACGTTAATACTTCATAACTCACATAAATTGGAGCCATATCGCTTTGTTCTGTGCAAAACTAAAATTTGTTTATTTCAGAAAGTTTCTTCCTTCCTAATATTTTTAAAAAGAACGTGCTGAATACTTCGAGGCACTAGAAATTAAGAAATAAACAATATAGTATCTGAAACAAGGGTTTTTTTTTCTATAATCACTTATTGTACATTAAATATTTTAATCTTGTTGCACAGCTTGAAAAGGGAAGGAAAAATGAACCATTCCTTTACCGGTTAATGTAAAACAAGGTTCACTCGTAATTAGTATGGTTACTCGTCTTTAATGCGGTTGCTCGTACTAATGTATCGAGTTCAATGAAGAATTACTTCATAAGTACATTAATGTCTCAAGTTCAGTAAAGCACTATTTCATGAGAGATCTCTCTCTCTCCTCTAAATGGTTCTGTTGGTAAGACAAAAAATCCTTTGTTTATTAAACATTTAATTAAGAAAAATAATCCAAATGAAATTAACATATCATCGGTAAACTTAATATAGTAGAGTTTTTTTCTCAGTCATAACGGACATTTTTTTCTCGCCAGCCCCCTAAAAAAAACAGCACTACTACATCTGTCTTAAAGCTATAAAGCTTAACTTTTCCTGATGTTCAAAAATGAAGTTTCGGTTTAAGGTGCCTTTAGTCAAACACATAAAGCTGAGACTTTAGTGATTTTCAACTTTTTTGAATTTTTGATGCTTTCATGGAGCTAACATACTGATTAAGCATTTCAATGATTACCTGTAAGGCACTTCTAATACTCTAATAAATGCAATGTGATTGGTTAAAACTTGTATGAACAAGATGGCTATTTAGATTAAATTTTATTTAGCATCTTTTCAGTGTACTTGGGGCCTATTGTTTTATGGGGCTTATTACCCAGCTCCCCCTTTATTTCTAATTAGTGCCAGTTTTATATTTAAAAAGCGGTTTAAAAATAATTTTTACATGAAATATACAAAAATATTTAGTGAAACCTAGAAGAGAAGATAATATACTAATTTCAATTTGAAAAACGGACAGCAAACGTACCCGTGCATTGCAGAATTTGATTGGAAGGCAAGAGTCTTCTTTCTAACTAATGAAAAATATATGGAAAAATTATTATAAACAGGTGATTTTGGTAACTTTTTTCCATTTGTACAAGAAATTACTTACAATAACCTTGAACCTAAAGAACATATACAAATATTATTACATAACGCAAAAGTCAGCTACTGCGTCAACGGTGTTAGACTTTAGTCTTAAATATCAAAATGAATTTTTTTGATATTATTAAAAGACAAGAGCAGCTAACTAATAAAATCAAAGCACAAATTACCTATCAATTTTACCAGAAAAGGAATAAGTGCAAACCAAGAAGTGTATGCACGTGCACCTTTATCATCATGCAGCATAAGAATACTCTGGTCATACCATTCATAGCAGTTGTATTCAAGATTATTAAAAAATGTACTTGAAAATGTAATTGAAAAGAAACTACCTTGTTTCTGTATGCACTCGCCTATTAGAACTTATAATTGGTATTTTAACTTTGTATCTCTTTTCAAAATGTATAAAATAAATAAATAAAATGAATAAAACAAATCTTTCAAACTTATAATTTAAATTTAAAATAATACAGTTAAAAAAAAAAAAAAAACTCATTTTAAAATTAATAATTTTTTTAACACCCTTTTTAAACTAGACTGTGACATACTTTTGGGAAAAAGACTATTAGTTGACTTTTAAACAAAATTGTAATAGATTATTTTTACTTTTACGCAAAATTGTTATACGAAAATTCTAAATGGTATTCTAAAACTGTTTTTGTTCTTAAAAAAATAACTCACATAAACACACACGCACACAATTTATAAATTTTCTATTTTTTCTGTTGATTCAGTTTTAATTTTGTAAAATAATTTAGAAAATTAAAATAATTGTGCCTACATTGCATCAGTAAAAGTGATAACATTTGTTTTATTAGGAATAACTGTTACTCAAGCAGATGGATTTTTCATGTTCAACTCTGCCTGTAAATACGAAAAAAATGTTATTGTTTCTCATCCAAATAAAGACCCAGAATGCAACAATTTTTTACTTAAAAGATCTTTGATTGACAATGGGAAACTCTTAAGGGATTTTCAATTGGAAAATCGATCATGCTTGTGTATAAATGCTTGCTAAATTACGCTTGATAAAACACTGAATAAAGAAAGACACATCTACAGAAAAAAAAGCATTAAAAACAATTTTCTAATATTGGAAAATTGTTTTTTTAAATGATTATCTATCATACGAACAGTTTATTAATAATATAATAATATTATTGATAACAATTTTAATGAACATAACGATATGTGAACTAGAAGTAATTAAAAGTTTTAAAATTGCAATAAAATGAGCGCGAGCGATATACTTTGATGTTTAATATTTTACATATTAACCATGGTTACCTATTGATATGGTTATTACCTATTAAGGCTTTGTATAAATTATAAACTTTAGTATGTTCATGCTTATATCAAAAAAGATTGCCAAAATTTTTATCAAACCAAAAACCAAAAGCTTGATAAAAAACTGTAGTAATTAGAGCCCAGGAATAAAAATACCCCAAAATTTTTGCAATATAATTTAATATATATACTTTTGTTGGGATATTTTTAGAGTATTAACTTATATTTTATATAACTTCCTTATTTCTCACGCATATTAAACAACTTTTAAACATAAAGAAATTATAAAATACAGTAAAACTTGAAGATTTGTATAGATTTAGTATAGCAAAGGATATTTGTATAAATTTAGTATAGTAAAGATTAGTACTTATTAGTAGTAGTATACAGTAGTTAGTATCTTGCTTCAGAATTAAAATGTCCGGGGTTCCATTCCTGCATATAATCAACATTGATCGGAAAGAAAGCGTAAATTTCCTAATTTACCAACTCAAGTTGCATAGTTTACGAGTACATGCGTTCATGTAAGGCCTGCAAGCTTGAAAAAAATGTGTTCAGATCTTTGATGTCAATAAGGTTGCGTGTCTTGTTCCGCTGCACTATTTCCATAAGTTAAACTAAATTTTGAATTGAATCGTTTTAATAACAAAAGAAATAGTATATTAAGCAATCTTAATGTCAGGTTACCATAGTTGCATTAATTGCAATTCCATGCAATTACTTATTTGAAATTCTTGTCCTCAAAAAAAGCTGGGAAATAATAAGCCATTATTTTATTATTAATATCAATTGCAATTGCTCTGCCTAGCAGTCTAACTATTAAACTTAAACTATCAGCGCAGTTCTAGCAAGTGAACATTAATTTTCATTTGTGTTTTTGATTTCTTCTGACAGGTTTATCATTGGTTGTGACGTGACTAGTGCACACTAAAAAATTATGCTATATTTTAAAAAAATATAACGACAAAATTGCGCGAACTAACATCATTATAACATCAATATAACATCAAAATGATGTTATATCTGAACAATATAACATCATTTTTCAAGATATATTATCAATATAAGAACAATATTTATTGTTATAATGATGTTATATCTTGAAAAATGACGTTATAATTTTCAAATATATATATATATATATATATATATATATATATATATATATATATATATATATATATATATATATATATTATTTATACACCTATTAAAAACTATCTATATACCTATAAATAAATATGTATATATAAACATATGTATAATCTATATACCTATAAATAAATATATATATATATAAATATATATATATATATAACATATGTATACACATATACATATTATATATACACATATACATGTATAAATATAATATATATAGCATGTATTTATATAAAAACACATATACATATTATACATACACATATACATGTATATATATATATATATATATATATATATATACATATATATATATATATATATACATACATACATACATACATATATATATATATATATATATACATACATACATACATACATATATATATATATATACATACATACATACATACATATATATATATATATATATATATATATATATATATATATATATATATATATATATATATTAGCACTTTAATAAACCATACTTTTTTAAATAGTTGGTTGCTTTATGTGATTTGTAAAGAAAAGTGTCTTTCAAAATAATTTCCTGTAAAACACCTAGTGTTTGCGCATAACTAGATGGATATGTCAAGTCCATAAGATAGTAAATGGCAATGATGCAACAAAACACTTCGCTGGCTGATGAAATCTGTGCTTTCTAAAATGGGTCATTGAATACTACTTGTGGACCAGGTATCGATACTCCCAGCATTTCATCCAGATTATCAGACTGTTAAACAATTTTTGAATCAAAAATTTATATTGCAGAGTATTCTATAAAAAAATAATGTTATTATTTACCTGAGTTACATGGAAAGCATTGGAAGAAGACTTTTTACAGGAGACATCACTTTGAAATTTTATTAAATTCAATAAAACCGACCCATCGGAAAAAACTGAATTGCAAAACTCTTTAGAAATACTTTCGAAATCTGCAAACATGGGATAAAGCCTGCAAAACTCGCTTATAAGAAGAGATGGAGATAATTGCAGTCGAATCGGGATGCTTTTAAATATCTGGGGCTCAAACAAATTCCGATTTAAAATCGCCAAAACTTGAGTTGAAGGCTTATTCTTCTGCAGCTCAATCTGTTAAAGAATATATATTGTGAATACAAATATAAACATTAGAATACTAAAAAATTATATAAAATTTACATTAAATTAAATATTTCATATAAATACAACACTAATGATTAGATTTATTGATAAATTTATTTTACAATATAAAATTTAAATTTGTACAATTAAAAGCCCTTTATATACAAACCTCAACTTCATGAAGTAACTGTTCTTTACTTAAATCAGGTTCAGCTGAATTTACTAACGCCAACAAAGAAGATGATTTTTTGGATTTAAAAAGTTGTCCAAATTTTGGACTGGCTTTGTTTGACTTAGTCCATTGTTGCTGTCTTAATGTATTAGCTATTAAACCTAAGAGCTTATCCTGAAAATAATATCATATCTCAAAATTTTTTTGTTTTTTTTTAATATTGCTACACTCTCAACAAAATTGCAACAAAAAATTTATTGCAACATGTGCAACAAAAAATTTGTTGCAACATCTGCAAATTAAAATTTGTTGCTAACAAAATATTGAAAACATAAACTGTATTATATTATATTCATGAATTTAAATTAATAAAATAGACGCACCCAGTCCTCCACACATAATGGAAATCGACTTATCATTGAAGATTTCAAACGTGTAAAAAAACTCTCTCCTTACCCATCAATCATTGCTTTGAGGCAGAAAATCCCTGCAATAACTAATTAAGGAGGTTTTTAACTGTTTTTCTATATTGTTGATAGAATACTTTTTCCATTCAAATACTCAATCACTGAAAAACTAAAATATTCTTCAATGCTACGAATTCCAGCTTCAGGAAATGGTATTTTTAAGATCTAAAGAATACAAAATATTTACAATAACAAAATTTTTAATAAGTAATAAAATTATCCCTAAACAAATATTATTGTTTTTAACTCAAAAAGCACATTTTTAATAATTATGGGGCAAAAGTAATTATTGAAGAACTATTATTACTGAAATCATAATAATACAATTAATTGCTTATCACTAATAACTATTTTACATAAATTTATAAAGGACAGTTCCACAAAAAAATAATGTTTATATTACAAGAAATTTAAATTGGGTATTGCTGTTGGAAACAAAAGTATTTTATTTGTGTTATCAGAGCATAATTGAAAGATACACCAAGAAAATAGAAGACTGTCTGGTTCTATATATTTAATACCAG